GATCTGAGCTGGTTTTTTCGCTACGTTGAAGACCCATTGGTGACCTTGTGTTTCCATTCGCAATTCTATTGCTGTACAATAGTTGTCTGTTTTTCCTCAATATTCAAAGGGTTTATTATTCACGGTATCATTGTTCTTAATACTAAACTACCAAAAGATAGAAAGTGTTTAGGTGTTAAAAATGTTATTAATACACAAATTTCTAAAATAATGTTATCTGGATACTGTGTCCGAAGGATACCCCAAATTTTCTTTTGTTCATATTAAGAAATTATGAAGATGCTATTGAATACCTGACAAGCTGACTACTCCCGCCTTAACAAACTTCTCATGTATTTCAATTTTCATTAAAAAAAATGAAAGAAATTATAGATTTATCAAGTATATGCAGCTGACAGCATTTGTGTATTCAGGTTTACTATGTTTTATACGAATCTCCCTCTTAAAACTGGCTTAAGTGAAGGAATCAAAAACCTTTGATTTCTAATCATTATCCCAATTACAGAGCTATGTCCACTTTTCTTTGCATTTCTTACATTCCCAAACGACAATATCTAAGAGACTAAATAATATTAAGAAAAGTTGATTGTCAGGTTTATAAAAATATGCGGTAGTTTAGGATGACTTAAGGACAATTTTAATAAAGTAACTCATAAACTGTAAATCATACAGGTATATCGAATATGATGTAATGACAGTCTCTGAAATATACCAGTCCAATATACATGATATATTCACAAATTGATAAACTATATAAACAAGAATCAACGGTATCCTTTCTTTTTATTTGTAGAATGGTACATACAAAATGAAAAGGTGAACGAATATGTTTTAATGTGTGATCTCTGTGTCTACCAGTTCCTTTCTATTACTATTTTCTATTTCTATTTATTACTAAATTAATAGACAATTTTGTATTTTTCTTTGAAAAGAGGCAATTAGTACGTGAACATACTTTGAATTTACCACCCGATTAAAAAAAGAGGATATACATGAACTTGCTTATCCTGACAATGATGTTTTCGATCCATTTGAAAAAGATGTCCTGAACAAACAAAATGAAAACACCTCAGAGGAATTCACAATGAATTGCCATGAACCTACAAGACTTTAATTTACGTAAACCAGGACACCAAGTTGTTTACATGTCATACTGTATTGCCAGAAGTTGTTTACAAAACACAGTAAAGGAACTTTATAGAAATAAACAAGACTTGTACCGGGTTAGGACATGCTTGATAAAGTGTTGTTTTATAAGATTTTTCACTTGATATTTGTAGGATGTGTTTCATAAATTCTTCACAATTAAATCAGTTATAACTATTTATATACATTATTGATAAACATGTCGATTGAATACATGATTGTTAAATGGGTGTTTTTTTTCAGGAAAGATTTGACGCCACGAAGCAAATATCTTGAAGTCACATTTGTTTTAACATTTCGTTCCTCGCAAATCTTTTTTGATATGGAACTTTCGAATTTTGATGGGCTTTGTTATTATTAAATCATTTAATCAAAGAGCTGAAAGCTCTGAGGAAAAATGACACCATTGTCTCTAATATTGGGATATTTTTGATGCAAGTCTTGATTTTCACATAATTTACCTACCGAATCTTAAGAGACTTTTCAGTTCATGGTAGGTAGGCTGACTGACAATAGAATAGAAATGAATTGTTTTTAATGTCTATTGCTTTTTTATTTGTTTGTCAAGATATATATATATATATATGTGTGTGTGTGTGAAGTGAATATAAACAAGAAGATGTGGTATGATTACCAATGAGACAACTCTCCACAAGAGACCAAATGACACAGAAATTAATAACTAAAGATCACCGTACGGCCTTCAACAATGAACAAAGCCGATACCGCATAGTCAGCTATAAAAGGACCCGAAATGACAAATGTAAAACAATTCAAACAAGAAAACTAACGGCCTAGTTTACGTACAAAAAAATTAACGAAAAACAAATATGTAACACATCAACAAATGTTAGTTTTATTATATTGAATAGACAAAGACCTGGATGTTTTATACATGTGCCATGTGCAGATTTAAATTTTCTAAAAACCATTTAAATTCCGTTTCATCCCCGCAGCTAGTAAATGTTCTACTACTAATCTATCAGTGCTTCTTACTACCTTCCTTACTACTATCAAAGAACTGGTTATTAACTTTTGTAATAAAGCTTATGAAAATAATGGTATTAATTATTTTTGGAGTGTTAAAAATTCTTTAGAGGTTTTAGATAAAATACATGCTTTTGATGGTCCTTTAAATTCTGTTGACAGTTATGATTTTTCTACTCTCTACACTACACTTCCACACAATCTAATAAGAAAAGGTTTTCATATTTAATAAAATGGTCTTTCGAAAAATCTCATTGTAAATTTAGTTTCTGTAACTCGTTTAAAGCCTTTTCTGTAACGAAAAAGGAAAGTATGCTAGATACACTTACTGGAAATGTGAAGATATGATTGAAGCTTTAAATTTTCTCCTAGATAACATATATGTACGTTTCGGCGATAAAGTGTATCGTCAGGTAGTAGGTATTCCTATGGGCACTAACTGCGCCCCTTTAATAGCAGATTTATTCCTGTATTGCTATGAATCTCATCAGTTTATGACCAAACTCAGTGAAGACACATCATTGTTACATTTGGTTGATACATTCAACAATACCTACCGTTATCTGAATGATATTTTTTCGTTAAATAATCCAGAGTTCTCTAAATATACTACCGAAATTTACCCAAAAGAACTCACTTTAACTAAATATAACATAAACAGCAGCAGTTGTCCTTTTCTATATTTAGACATTTCAATTTCTAAAGGGAAACTCCATACTAAAATTTACGACGAAAGAGACGATTTCTCTTCCCTATTGTTAATTTTCCTTTTTCAGACGGCGATGTGCCTTTGGCTCCATCATACGGTGTTTATATATCCCAACTCGTTCTATATGCCCGTGTGTGTAGTGATGTCATAGAACTAAACGAACGTAATCAATGCATCACTGGTAAATTATTAAGTCAGGGATTTCGTTACCATAAATTACTTAAAACTTTTACTAAATTCTTTCATAGATATAAAGATTTGATTAGTAAATTTGGCTGTACCTGTAGAAAACTTATTAAAAATGGTATTTCACATCCTAAATTTTATGATAATATTGTACTTAAAACGCGGAAATCAATTTGTGATCCGTGTAAACTCATCGAACCTTTAAACAAACTTATTAGTAAAGGTTATCGTACCAATGTTGTAATTAGATCTCTGAATATAGTTTACATTGGCACTAATATCAATTGTGTCATTAGCAAATTAAAACATAACTAAATTTGTATTTTCTTTTCAAACAGTGTATAGAGACACACACACGTTCATTTTTATCTATAAAGAAGTCACTTCTAACTATCCTACTACCTGTCGATACATTTATTTTTTGGTATTGCACAAGTCATGTCTTCTTTGACTGTTCATGACGTTAAAATACTAAATACCTTGGATGTGTTTTAGTTGATTTCAGTCTCTGATGCATGATTTTTTATTATTAATTGTTTTGGCTTTTAACTAGCTGTCAGTAACTGTGAGTACTCTCAAATCGTAATTTCTTGGTAATTTGACCTGTTGATAAAATTTGTAATGCTTTTTTTGTTATTTAATGTTAACATGGATCTTGTCTATGTACTAGCTTTGATTATTTTGAATTACTACAAATTTTCACTTCTTCGTACTATGAACATCAAAATTATTTCATTCCTCCTTAAATACTGTTCTTACACTTGTACAGGAAGTTTTATCTAGCACTAATTGTATAGTTTTATTGTTGGTATCCACCCCATATGAACCAAGTGTTAGATTAGTTTTATTGATATTAAAGTAATTTCTTGGTATTCCTAAACGGAAGATTTTATACACACAAAGAGGAGATATATACTTAACAACAAAATTATTTTCATTTACCTGTGTATAATATGACGCAGGTTTTTTCAAAAGTGATGATTTTCTAAAAATTGTTTAACATTTCACAGTGCTATCATACTTTAACTTTGTTTAAACCTGTTTTTTTTTACTTTTGACCTTAATTATTTATCCCTTATAATTTTTATTAACTATGTATTTGCATTCAGGTATCACAGATCAAATTTATTCGTTCATTGTGTGTTAATTTACGTTTTTTGATTTAGTTAAGCCTTCCAATTGATAGTTTATAGTGTGTCTTTCTATGTTGTGATGTTATACTATTGTTTCAGAAAAGGGAGAAGGTTTGGTACCATTAAAACGTTTCATCCCGCTGCAAATGTTTGCACCTGTCCTAAGTCAGGAATCTGATTACAGTAGTTGTCGTCTGTTTATGTAGTTCATACGTGTTTCTCATTTCTCGTTTTTATATAGATTAGACAGTTGGTTTTCCCGTTTGAGTGGTTTTACACTAGTAATTTTTGAGGCCCTTTATAGCTTGCTGTTCGGTGTGAGCCAATGCTCCGTGTTGAAGGCCGTACCTTGACCTATAATGGTTTACTTTTATAAATTGTTACTTGGATGGAGAGTTGTCTCATTGGCACTCATACAACATCTTCCTATATCTATTAACCTATTTATCCCACTAATTTATTAGATTTGTTAGTTGTCGGTAATTACTTACTCTATTGCATTTTAAATCTGGTTTTGATTTTAAAAATATAACTCGTTTTTCATTTTGAACTGTAACAAGTTGTTAATTGTAGTTTGTGCTGTGTAATGACAATCAATTTTAAAATATGGAAGTATTTTCAGTTCATTGTGTCAATATTATTTTAATCGCTTTAACAAATACAAAATATGTACGTTGAAATAATAAACATTATTAAGTTTCACACAGCCCGTATTACAAAATCATGTAAAAGTTTGTTTTGAGGATATTTGTTGATATAAAGTTTACATATATGATTGATTTGTTGACAAGATATTTCTAATCGAAACATCAATAAGTACACTTAGATACACGTGGTATATCAAAATCTTAAATATTTTGCAAATCATATGTTGGGATATTGTCGTGAAATTGTTGTTCACATGGTTATTACATAGAGATGCGGTTATAACTGTATTTAAAAAAGCGAAATGTAAAAATGTATTTGTTCCAGAAAAAGATCATATTACTTATAGTCTGCTTTTTGTTGAATAACTATGGTAAGTACGAAAGTAGCAAGTTCAAACTATACGAATTGGTCAACTTCGGTAAGTACCTAGTTCGTCCCTTTTGTCTTCGGGTTAAGAAAAAGCTATAAGCCTCTACAGACCACTCTCCATCTTGGAAATGTTTTAGTGAGAATACAAACAGTATGGTGATTTCAACTGTGGTATGCACAAACAAAAGCGATCTGGTTGGTGATATAACTATGGGAAGTAAAACAAAACAAGAAACACAAGCAAACAGATACTGTACGATAATTTCAACTGTGGAAAGTAAAAAAAAAAGAAAGAAAAAAGAGAAACGATCTGTATGGTGCTTACAACTGTGGAAAGTAAAAAACAAAAAAGAGAAGTGATTTGTATAGTGAATAAAACTATGGGAAGTAAAAAACACAAATAGAAGCGATCTGTATGGTGATTACAACTGTTAAAAGTAAAAACAAAACAAAAAGATCTGTATAGTTAATACAACTGTGGAAAGTGAAGAAAGAAATGAGAAGTGATTTGTATAGTGATTACAACTGTAGAATTACAAAAGCAAAATTAGAAACGAACTGTATGGTGATTGCAACTGTGGAATGTAAAAATCAAAGAATACGATCGGTATGATGATAACAACTGTGGAAAGTAAACAACAAAAAAGAGAAGTGATTTGTATGGTGATTTGAACTGTAGGAAGTAAAAAAAAAAAAAAAACAAAGCCAATTTGTATGTTCAGTTCAAATTTGGTATGTACAGCTAGAGGCAAAAAGTATGTTCAGTTCAACTGTAGTACGTGCAAACAGAAGCAATTTTATGGTGATTACAATAAATTCTTGTGGTATGTACAAACAGAAGCAATATTGTATAGTAATTACAATAAATTCTTGTGGTATGTACAAATAGAAGCAATTGTATGGTGACTACAATAAATTCATGTGGTATGTACAAATAGAAGCAATTGTATGGTGACTACAATAAATTCTTGTGGTATGTACAAACAGAAGCAATATTGTGTGATGATTACAATAAATTCTTGTGGTATGTACAAACAGAAGCAATATTGTATGTAATTACAATAAATTCTTGTGGTATGTACAAATAGAAGCAATATTGTATAGTATTTACAATAAATTCTTGTGGTATGTACAAACAGAAGCAATATTGTATGATGATTACAATGAATTCTTGTGGTATGTACAAACAGAAGCAATAGTGTATGGTGATTACAATAACTTCTTGTGGTATGTACAAACAGACGCAATTGTATGATTACAATTAATTCTTGTGGTATGTACAAATAAAAACAAATTTTATGGTGATTATAATTTTGAAATGTACAAACAGAAGCACATTGTACGGTGATTACAATTTTGGTATGTACAAACAGATGCAAACTATACGTTCAGTTCAACAGTAGTATAAACAAAAAAAGAGGCAAACTGCATCATGTTCTGATGAGTACACGACTTTGTACAAGAAGAACAGTTTATCTAAATATAGTAGTTCTAAGAACTGCTATTGAGCTAATTTCTCAGACAAGGTATAGAGGTGGTACCTAAATGTGTTCCATATTAAAGAAAACAAATTGCAGGATAAAGGAGCACTGTGGCAAACAAATTAATATATGAAGTGTCAAAGCAAAAAAACTAATAGAAAAATACATTAGAAAATCGATAATTCAACAAAAAACCTGACATGTCAGCAAGGACCCCCGTTTTATTGCTAGCTAAACCTCTCACTTGCATGACAGTAAGTGTATACAAATATTTCATTATTATTTTTTTACTTTTATTTTTGGAGGAAGGCACTTTCAATCACTTTGACATACCTTGTTACACACAGACACACACACACACATATATACATGTATATATAAACGCATAAAAAGTGTACAAAACAACACCAATAACAAAAAGGGAAACATTAAATGTAATTATCTATAAATATGTCGGAAAACAGATATCCTTCATCAGTATGATTATGATGTAAAATGAATCATATCAATCTATTCTGATTAAACTATAACAATCTTGAAATTTATACAATAAAACAGTTAAAACCGAACATCATAGAGACGCTTGTACAATTCTAAAATTTCAAAAATGACCTAATTTATAATAGCTATTTACAACAGAGACTGCAAAGATATGCTTCAAATAAAAATAGTAATGTGTGATATGAATTGGTACAATTCGAAAATGTTACAGGTGACGACTGTTAAGATGTTACAACAACGATAGCGTGGAAATACATTTCCAATAAACAGCACTGACTGATCTACGCTGGTATAATATTTCAAATTTGAAATCATATTACATATATATATATATATATATATATATCAGTGTTGAAATCCTATTAGAAATATATTCACCTTTTGGGAAAAGTTTACTCGAAATGAATTTAAACTTTTTTATTATGATTGTAATGAAAAGTGGAAACAACCTTTTAGAGAAAATTAATGAAATATAAATGTTTAACTTATGCAGTAGTGCAAAACTAGTTAGTAAAAAAAGGTAATTATGTGGCTGCAAGGGCACCACTTATACATGTACTACTAATATCAGATTATACATGCATATGATTAATATTCTATAAGTTGCAATGATATTTCAGGTTTTGCAGTCAAACAAAGAACAAAGCGAAATTTGCTTGCGATGAGCGACATGATATCTTTTACCACGGGGCGATATGGCTTGGATTTTAATAAATATGGCCATTTCTGTGGCAAAGGTGGCAAAGGTCAAATAATGGACAGCATTGATTGGTAAAGTACATCCAAATACATGTATAACCTTATGTGTTTTTATGAATTGTAACTATACTAAAAAAAAATTTTTTAAAACCAACAATGATTGCAATTATTTCTGTGAAAAGTAAAATAACAAAAAATGTGGCATGTACAAATAGAAGCAATTGTATGGTGATTACAATAAATTCTTGTGGTATGTACTTTTAGAAGCAATTGTATGATTACAATAAATTCTTGTGGTATGTACAAAAAGAAGCAATTTTATGATGATTACAATAAATTCTTGTGGTATGTACAAATAGAAGCAATTGTATGGTGATTACAATAAATTCTTGTGGTATGTACAAACAGAAGCAATATTGTATGGTGATTACAATAAATTCTTGTGGTATGTACAAACAGAAGCAATATTGTATGGTGATTACAATAAATTCTTGTGGCCATTTCTGTGGCAAAGGTGGTAAAGGTAAAATAATAGACAGCATTGATTGGTAAAGTACTTCCAAATACATGTATAACCTTATGTGTTTTTATGAATTGTAACTAAAAAAAAAAAAAAAAAACCAACAATGATTGCAGTTACTTCTGTGAAAAGTAAAATAACAAAAAATAAACTGCTTCGCCGAGCGCAGCTGGATACGACCGCAGAGGTCCAACCCTGAACAGTTGGGGCAAAAATGGACACAATAATCTAGCTTGATACATGTCTGAATTTGGATTGTAATTAAATATTTGACACAATACAGGTTTCTGACACAGAATAAATGTGTCAAAGAACTTGAAATTGGTTGTATGATTTGAATTTATATTCAATTGAAGATTTCTTGCTGTTGTGCAATACACTGTGCTGTTGCACAATACTTAGTAAATCTGTTTTCAGACTATATACAAAGAATTAGCAAAATGAATTGTGTCCCCCAATTTTTTTCTTTGGAAAATTGACAATTTCTTAAATCTTGAGGGAAAACAATTGACCCCCCCCCCCCCCCCCCCCAAAAATTTGTTTTTACCCCATCCTCCAAAAAAAAATAACATTTGAAGAGAATTTTCTTTTGAGGAATAAAAATTGCCCCCCCCCCCCTCCTAAAAAAATTTATTCCCCCCCTTTCCAAAAAAATAAATTTGGAGGAAATTTTCTTTATGTAAAATGTGGTACAAATTAAAAGACATCCATACACTTAGACACAAGATATTGTCTGAAAACTAGAAAAATGCTTGTTTTAGACCCTCTTTGGCCCCTAATTCCTGAACGGTTTGGGCAATTACCCCCAAAATGAATCCCAACCTTATACCTGTGGTATTGAACCTTGTGGTACAATTTCAAAGCAATCAAAGTTCTTATACACAAGTTATTGTCCTGAAACTAGAACAATGCTTGTTTTGGCCCCTTTTTGGCCCCTAATTCCTAAACGTTAGAGATCATCACCCCCAAAAACAATCCCAACCTTCCTTTTGTGGTATTGAACCTTTTGTTTAATTTCATAGAGATCCATACACTTAAACTAAAGTTATTGTCCGGAAACCAATGGTCTTCGGACGACGCCTTTGCCGACGACGTGATACCAATATACGACCCAAAAAAAAAACGAATTCCAAGGGAAATTCAAAACGGAAAGTTCTTTATAAAATGGCAAAATCTAAAGCTTAAAGACATCTAACGAATGGAAAACAACTGTGATATTCCTGACTTGAATATATTTGAATATATTCGAATGTATTTGAAAGATTTAATATATTTGAATATACTTGAATATATTTGAATATACATGAATATATTTGAATATACTTGATTATATTTGAAAGATATTTGTATAAAAAATTTGTGGGTTAAATCGGTTTTATGAAACAATCTATTGATTTCATTTTTTCTTCATTAAATAATATTGATAAATCTAATTTTAGTTATTACCCATACATCACATACAGTGCATTATTGGCTCCTACTAGTACTAAATACCACACATGTTTATACTTCGCAAAGAGCATATAGGACATGGCCGAGGAAGTTACATTTATTTTTGCTAAATAAATACTTTCTTCGTTAAAAATTTTAGACAAATCAAAGATTTGTATAGTAAGACTTGTAAGCCGAAATTTACCCAAAGGAACTTACTTTAAATAAATCAAATATAAACAGTGATAGCTGTCCTTTCCCACATTTAGATATTTCAGTTTTACACGGGAAACTCTACACTAAAATTTACGACAAAAAGCATAGGTGCTTGAGGACAGGACCCTATGTTGAGCCCCATAGTCCCTCCCCGTTTATTATCATAAATCCCCAATTTCTAATATACATCATTAATTTGTACCATATATATACCAATTTACCATATTTTTACTCTAATTGCACATGTTTACTATCAATGTGCTACTCGACTATAGACGTAATCGGGGATTTATATAATAAAGGGAGAGGGACTATGGGGGCTCACCATAAGAGTCCTCTCCTCAAAGCCCCCATGCAAAAAGGACGATTATTCTTTCCCTATTGTTAATTTTCCTTTTTTTTTGGTTGGTGATGTTTCTTTGGCATCATCCTACTGTAGTTTTATTTCACAACTCGTTCGCATTGCCCGTGTCTGTAGTGACGTTTTGGATTTCAAAGAACGTAACCTATGTATTACTCATTCATGATTTCGTTACCACAAATTACTTAATACATTTACTAGTCTTCCATAGATATTTCAGAAAACTTATTTCAAACGGAATAGCACATCATAATTTTTACGGAGAAGTTATTTACCGAGCCCGAAAATTTAGATACGATACAGGTAAACTAACCGATCTTTAAAATAAACTTATTCTGAGGGTAACAAATTCAACGCTGTAATTAGATCTTTAAATATTGTTTTTATTAGTATAAATATTGATTGTTATTAGTAAATTAAAACCAAACTAATATTATTGTTATATAATTACATATACATATGCACATTAACGGTTCTACAATCTGTTGGTACCTGTATTTTGGCATTGCACAGGGTCATGTTTTTCTCTGACACTAAATCCATTGGATGTCGGATGTGTGTTGATCAATACTTTAGTCTTAGATACATGATTTTTTTTATTAGTTGTTATTGGCTTTGAACTAGTTGTCAGTAACTGCAAGTACTCTCAGATCTAGATATGTACTTAGTGTCTTTTTTGTTATAGGGATGTATAAATACCCTGCCATGTCCGGTCTGTTTTTTCGTTACTTGTTTTTCTGCTTTGTATCGATCTAATAAGTTAAGCCCTTTTCAACTGATTGTTATAGTTTGTTCATATGTTGTACTGTTACACCATTGTCCCAGGTTAGAAGAGGTGGGGCGCCCGCTAACATGTATGTGCCTGTCGCAAGTCAGGAGCCTGTAATTCAGTGGTTGTCGTTTGTTGCTGTATATCATATACTAAGTATGTATTTCTTTCATTTTTTTTTTTTTTTGCATAAATCAGGCTAAGGCCTAAGTTTTCTCGTCTGAATGTTTTACATTTGTCATTTCAGGGCCTTTTATAGCTGACTATACGGTATGAGTTTTGCTCATTGTTGAAAGCCATACGGTGACCTATAGCTGTTATTTTATATGTAATTTGATCTCTGGTGGAGAGTTGTCTCACTGACAATTATACCACATCTTCCTATTTTTATCTATACAAATCCAGATGGATGCGGATCAAGGATTTTAGAAAAAGGGGTGCCCGCAGGCCCCAAACCAAACAAAATGTGTAGTGGAAGCGGTAAAAAGTATGGATTAACCATAAATGAAGCTCCATAAGGGGGGCCCGCCCCTCTCCTTAACCCGCCTTTGAAATTCGAGGTATAAAAATTTAGTTAACAGTAAATCACGATTCGTCTTGTTGTTTGTATCATATTATTTTTTACCACACACACACACACACACATGATAAACCCCTTGATCGAATAAATGTCATACTCATGCATTTCTTGTTTATATGTCTAGGTGCTGCAACCTTCATGACAACTGTTATGGAAGATTACAGAATTATGGATGTCGTCATGTACTAATGAGTAAATATGACTGGAGACTTGTAAATTTTCAGATTGTGTGTCGTAAGTAAAATATGTTTACTAAATAAAACCTTCTAGTAAAGGCTGGTGATTGGCATTATGACCAGTCATTGCAAATTTCATAATATACTTGAAAATTCTGTGTGACTAGGTGAATTTCAAGTCATTTTAGTCGGAGCATGAACTTTGTTTTGTTTTTTATGTTGAAACCTTTATCACTATGATCAAAGTTCCTTATGTTTCAGTCAACTGCAATTACCATGCTAGCAGGAAATTTATTCTACCAGCAATGACTTGGTTGTCAATGCCAATGACCTTTTAAAAGCACATTTGAATTTACAAAATACCTTGGGGAAGACCAAAAGTCTTGTTCTACTAAAAATATCATACATTCAAGGCTTTATGTTGTAAGCCATCTGAACAAATGTTTACTATTTGATATATTTCAATAAGCCTTATGATGTATCATAATATTACTATATATGTATACTATTTTATATTTTAAAAGGTAATCTGAAACAATCACCTTAAATCATGCAATAGGTGATTCATTGGTAGAGATGGCCTACATTATTTTTTGATATTTTGTTCAGAAAACAAAGATAAAAGCTACCTTTAATTTCTACTTTAAAACTATTGATAGTAAATAAAAATCATATGGAATGCAATATTAAAATTCTGTGATCTGCAGTGTATTTTCTTTGTAACTTTTGGGTAAATTTTCTTCCATTAACAAGCAATATGGTAAGATCAATTATTATTTTCAATATGTGTATGCAGCAATTAGTTGAATACAAAATTTAAATATTTGTAGGTTTTATTCATAAAATCACTGTTTTTTTTGGAAATTGCATGATTGTTAAATAAGGGTCTGGATGGGTTTTACAGAATGAAGAATAATGGACAAAAGGTGCAGAAAAAAGGTCAACAAAAATAAAATAATAGAGAAAAGTAGACCAAAAATATAGAAAAACGGGGTGTTTAAAAACACAAAGAATAATAAATAACAGAATAATAGACAAAAACAAAAGAATTGAGAAAAATGACCTTGATATTTTAAATATTACAGAAATGAAGGATCCCCCCATCCTGACCCTCGTATATGGACTGATTATTAAATATTTATATATTTTTAATTGATATCAGCTTTTGTAACCACACTGAAGGCAAACACCATAACTAAGAAACTAAAATCAAGATCTACTCATGGAAAACCTGAAGGTAGGTACATATAATATACACTGTGAATATTTTTTTACAAACATCAGCACATAAATATAGTTATATAGCTTTCACATGTTTATCATTCAATATAATGATAATAAATTCTCATCCACGCTTGCTGTTTTTATTATTGCCCCCTCCTATTCATTTTTGGGGCCCTTTATAGCTTGTTGTTCGTTGTGAGCCAAGGCTCCTTGTTGAAGGCCGTACTTTGACCTGTAATTGTTTACTTTTTATACATTGTGACTTGGATGAAGAGTTGGCACTCAAACCACATCTTCTTACTTATATATACACTATGTTTTATACACATCATTTCCCAAAGATAATATTGAGATATTCTTCTCTATTTTTACCATATCATAGATGTCTGTTAACTGTGACTAATATAAAAGTAAGAAGCTATGGTATGATTGCCAATAGGACAACTCTCCACTAGAGACCAAATGTTGAAGAAGCTAGCAACTAAGTCACTTTCAAAACCATTACATTCCTATACAATCTTCATCTGAAACAAATCATAGTAGATTGTGAAAATGATAAACAATCATTTTGGCCACATGTGTTTTAAGACTCTGACTTCCATCATCTCCTGGATGTTCAATGTTTTCTGTATATTGTGTCCATCAACCACTATGTTCAATGTTTTCTTTATAGTGTGTCCATCAACCACTATGTTCAACGTTTTTCTTTATAGTGTGTCCATCAACCACTATGTTCAATGTTTTCTTTATATTGTGTCCATCAACCACTATGTTCAATGTTTTCTTTATAGTGTGTCCATCAACCACTATGTTCAATGTTTTCTTTATATTGTGTCCATCCACCACTACGTTTGATTGTTTTCAGGTCTGGAAAAAGATAAATTATACAATCAATATAAAGATAGGGAGATGTGGTATGATTGCCAATGAGACAACTATCCACCAAAGATCAAATGAAGTGGATGTAAGCAATTATAGGCAACCATACGTCCTTCATCAATGACAAAAACTCATACCATATAGTCAGCTATTAAAGATTTTTTATGTTTTGATTTTCAAGAAAAATGAAAAACAAAATATTTTATTGGATACTTACTATATTTTGTAAAGCACTTTAATTGGTAGTTAACCTATACACATAAAATCTACACACACAAAAAGTTTGCCTTCAGAATACCCTAAGTAATAATTAATCCAAAGTTTATTCTAGTGCAGAGGTAGAAGTTACTGTAAATTCAGAAATTATTGCATGCATCAAATTTTATTATTGCGACATTTGAAGAATGAACAAAAATATGAGATTAGTTATTGCGATTCCATGAAAACCAAATACAGATATATGTATCAGATATCTGAATTCGAGTTCTTATTATTGCGATAAACACCCAGTATTTGCATTAATAAAAACCTCGCAATAATTTCTGAATTTACAGTATTTTAACATTTGACCATGAGTAATAGGCTTACCCCATAAATTAATTTGCTTTAAAAGTATTTAATAATGAAGTTTAAAAAAATTTGTAATTTCAGGCAGCAAATAATGGCTATTATCATACCTCTTTTGGTTATTGATGATTTTTCATTCACAATATACAATTAATAAACTAATTCATTTTTTTCAGTGAACAAGGACTTCTGTTTTCAAGCAACTTGTGAATGCGACAAAAATTTAGCGTACTGTCTTGGACGTTATAACATTTATTATAATGAGGAACTTCAATCAAAATCTAAGTTCCTGCGATTCATTCATAAAGCAGCACACTTTCTGTCTAATGATAGAATTTAATCATTTGAAAAAACAGTACTGTGTTTAACTCTGCTACATTATGTTAGAAAGATTATATCAATTATACACAATATTTATCAGTAAATCAAGTATTTTTATTAAATGCTATACGATTCATTATTTACTGTTACTAAAAAAAATGTAAGGTAAAAAATGATAGACTTTTTGGATAACTTCATCTTAATTTGTAAAATATGGGAACCAGTTTTTGGTGGGGTCAATATTGCTTAGTCTTTAGTTTTCTATGTAGTGCTTCAAATGTGTAGACTGTTGATTGTCTTTTCATCTTTTTCCTTTTTTTGTCATGGGTTGTCAGTTTTTCTTTGACTTATCGAAATCAGACTTGTGTAGTCCGCGTTTTTTCCCTCCAAAATTAGTATTGCCAAATAGGGGTGCGGATTATAGAGTACAACAAGCAGTTCATGTTCCGCCATGTTTGTTATTGAAAATGTAGAGGGTGTTTATATAATTCTCAAAACTAATAATTTACCTAATCCATATTAGCATGCAATTTTAATTCAAAATCCAATATTAACTGAAAAATATCTAAATTAAATCATACCTGTCAACTTTTCAAAATCTTCATGGGAGAAATTTAAGTACAAGAAGACCTAATGTTCCTCTTTCATTGTCATAAGTGTTTTTAATCTACATCTTTATTGTTTGAATGAGTATGTATGTGCTGAAATACCATTTTAACTCATTTGAATGCCTTTATAAAGGTAGTTTGTAAATGTAATAAAGAATATCACGATTCAGGTTAACACCTCTCATGGGAGAAATCCCTCATAAAGCGTGAAAGTTGGCAGGTCTGTTAAGTGCTTCATAACAAATTACTCGTTTCTTTTCATAGCATTTCATAACATAAAACTAAAATCTGTTTGAAATTACGGGAATGATAAAAGTATATAAATCAGCCGAGAACCAGCTTATGCATTCCAATGTATAAATTACAAAATGTAATCGGTTATTCGTTATGTGTTGGTGTTTCATACTGACACATGACTTTTGTTTCAGCTGAGGATAATTTAAACATCAATGTTACGGATATATTTAAAAGTATTTAGCTGCCCGTACGAAATATCTAGCAGGATTCCTACCAGACTATAGCAGGAATTCACATGGAATTAGCAGGAAATTTTAAATTCCTTTTACTTTTTAGACGTACTAGGAAAAACTTCAGTTTTTCTGGGAGGGTTTTTCATTTTCCTACAACAACATTCCTGGTATATATATTATAAGTTCATCTGATCTACATTTTTGTTGTATACAGAATAACAGACCAATACTTCTGAAAAAAGGTTTTTGAGAGTGAACAAAAAAACTGTTACATCTATTTCCATCATAATTAAATTCAAAAACAGATTACAAACCAGGTTTATAACACATCTTTCATATGTGGTAGCTATACTTCATGAATTTAAGAGTCAAATTTGCAACAAGAAGATTTTTGTTGTATACATACACTAGTAGCAAGATTTCAGTCTGAAACGGTCATTTTGGTCTGATCAAGTCTTAATCGACTTAATTTACCGCTAGGGAAAAACGTTAAGACCTGTTTAGACTTTCAGACTCTGTTCCGATATATCGTGTTCAGTCATATCAGTCGTGTAAAGATAAACAAGACAGTTTCTTCTAGCGTTCAAATAAGACTTGATTAGATCACGTTCAGATAAAATAAGACCAAAGGTAAAAAATCTGCTTAGTTGCTGTAAAATCGTGTTCAGTCGTGTTAAGATTTTAAATATTTTAAAGAAATTGGGCGACACATTATCTGTGTTTATCAGGGGTTACTCCCCCTTTCTGAATAAAATCGGCATAGCTTGGAGGATATTCTTTTGTGGTCTTTTAATGTAATAATGTATATCTATTTCGTTAAATAACGTATGCAAACGTACAATTCATTTTTTTCTGATAGAATTTTTAACATTTAATTGGTTATATAAGAAAAGATTAATTGTTGTAACCGGAAAATGTGTTAGTCATAAAAACTTTGCAGTCGTGCTTTCTGACATAAAGCAGTCCTGTATTTATTCATTCCGCCCGTAAAGATAAAATGATAAGTAATATATCCCAAAGATGTTCTGAAATTTTCTTAAAACATTTTTTGTTTCTAATGTAAAATAATAGTTCTGATCCATATAAAATTTGTCATGAAAACTATATTCTAATTTAACTTATTTGCTTTATATTTTTATATATTATACAGATGACAGTTGCTTTGTGAAAGTTATTCACATTTCAATAAACGGATTATTTAAGCAGTCAACCGAAACGGATTGTCATAAACTATCTAAATCATTACCCATGCAACGCTTATGATGTTTTATCCATGGACGAAAAATGAATAAAATTCCATGTTTTATCTTATATAAGGATTTACCGGGTAAAATTATTACATTGAAAAATAAAACATTATTTTTTCAAAATAAATGCAACAAGAATAAAGAACATTTTAAGAATTTAGTTGACAGTTTATATTTACCATTAGGTACCTATAGAGACCGATTGCGATACCTCTCTTAATTTTTTTTCATCATCAAGTTTTTTTTAGCAAGAACTAATACAAGAATAAATCATATTATAGAAAAATATCAAACAACATAAGTTAAGAAACGATTGATAAAATCTAGTGTACGGTATATATTTCTGTTTCGTATCAGATTTGTTTTTATAACACCAGCGTTACTTCTCATTTTAAAAACAGTGAGACGCTTACTTGCTTTTTCGGAATTGACCAAAAAGCTATAAAATAACGTAGCGTAATGACCGTACTTATAGATTAGACTTTGTTTTTTTCCATTTTGAATTGTTTTACACTAGTCATTTTGGGGACCTTTATAGCTTGCTGTTCGGTGTGAGCCAAAGCTCCGTGTTGAGGCCGTACTTTTGACCTACAATTGTTGTATACTTTGTCCCTTGGATGGGGAGCTGATTATTTGGTACACATACCACATCTTTTTATTTATATTAACCGGGAGCATTGTTACATTCAAAAGTCTTCAACTGACGTAAATGATTGATAGAAATACATTATTTGTATTGCATTGACTAGTGTAAAACTAAAATAATGTCCAGTGTCAAATATTACATATCGATGATCACTTAGATGTTCAACTGATTCAACAGAAAATTAAACTTAGACTAGGATCAAATGCAATTGATTACGTTACAATTGTATCCAATAATAATATTGCTAAAAATATTCAGTCGAGGATAAGACACAGGTGAAATTTATATGCATTGATTTGTTCTAGCCTGATACGGCGAGCGCGTGTCGACAAAAACAAAAGGTCATCTTAACAAGAGAACAGTTGTTGTGAATCAGAGCCAAATTGACCGTTATTCCAACTTTACTCATAAATAATGCGTGCTTGTTGAAAAAAGGTCACAAACGAAAGGTCACAATTCAGTTTCCGAGAAAATACTTATTTTCAAAAAAAATGTTTTGTATGTATCTTGAACTATTGTATATATAAACCAACTCTGTAAACAAATGTATTAAATGAACAAATAATTGTTTAGAAAACAAACTCTCAAAGTGGCTTGGTACCTAAACAGCTTCATGGTGCTAAGAAATATTATATCATTTGCATGATTAAAATTTAATAAATCTTCATTCATCAAGGCTAATGAACAATTTCATAAACTGTAAAAAGAATATATGTAATAAAAAGTAATTTTTCAAGATATTTCTCTTACATACTTAAACAATTTTCAACAAATTATTTGTGACTTTTTGTCCTGTGAATTTCTGTCCTGTGACTTTTTGTCCTGTGACTTTTCAGTGTCCGCTTACTGTTAAGAATAGGACCTCCCTTACAAATGGAGAGAAAGCTGTCGGGACTATCAATGCTAATTGTTAGAGAGAATAAAAAGTACATCAATCATTCTCAATTTTATATGTATTGCGTAAAACAAAACGGTTTTAAATGTTGAATTTAAGTAATGCTCGGATTAAAAAAAATAGATCTTTTTCTTTTGCTTTTCGTTGAAAACATCCCGAATATCATGTAATATTGTACGCTGAACATTCAACGATCATGGCCAAGCATGTGTTCTTTAGAATGCAATCTGTAGAAGAAAATCCGGTTTTAAATCATGTACATTGGAAATCAAGAATCGTGTGTCGTGTTCGACCTATTATCCTTTATTAAATAGTCGAAATTGACAATCAATATATTTTTTTTTGCACCTACGTAACTCTATATATGCGTGTTTTTGCCACTTTGCTTAGAAAAATTATCATATATATTAATTCTCTTTCAATTACATTTCCTTATTCAATTTGCTACTTGTCTACCAAAAAAAAAATAAAAAGATATTGTTTCATTTTTGTCATTTTTGTTAAGTTCTTGGTAGATGTATGTCCTTTATGATCTCTCAGGTAAATATCAAAAATGAGTCCAGAGTTTTGACGGTTGAGAATTAAGGATTAGTTACTTTATGGAACACTTATTTCCTTGGATGGTAGTACAAACTTGTATGTTATCCTTTAAAGTTAGTCTGTCTGCTTAATAATTTGCAGTTTTAAGGAGAATTCTTCGTATTTTGCAAAAAGATAAAGAATAAAATGAAAATTTGCTTTCGATTGCATTCAGGCAGAGAAAAATATGTTTTGTTATATTTCAGACGATTTTTAGTACGGATTTAAAACTGTTCTTAATCTCTTCCAATTTACAAATATAATTTGGTATTGTTTTTTCTGCAAGTGGTAGATGAAACTTGTATGTTCTAACTTTTTCAGAGGTCTGTGAAATCTTGAAAATATAACGTTCCCGGAAATCACAAGTCGCTATATAGAATGCTTGTAAAATTCAGAAACTTGCAGTACGCTCATATTTAATAATTTTCTGTTAAAAAGGAAGGTGTAAAAATAAGAAGGCGAAAACGGGAAAAGGAGGAGGGTTGTTACACGAACACGTTCTTCGCAATTTAATGCTAAACGAATAGTGATTATCTAACTTTTTGTTCAAATATCGAATGCAAATCAAATCTCTAACTTATCCACGCTTGCAATAACTTTTTAATTGACAGGTTTCTACTGGCATTTGATTGGAC